TTATAGTGTATATAAGAAACAAATCTATAATATCACAGCCGGAAAAGGAATAGAGTGCGAGACATGCAGTGTACTATACCGAGCGTGTGCTGATGCCAATGACCGGCCCGTCGATGTTGACGTACGTGAACAGTTTTATGGGAGAAAAACAAGAGAAAGACCAACTTTGTGTGTTAATGTCGTCTTTCGCTCACTTTTGTGCACACACAGTCGAATCTATTGATGTTACGGACCAATCACGACATATTAACTGGCAGGACCAGAGTATCTGCTGACTCCAGGTTTCGACATACCTCTTCGTCACTTAAAGGCACCATGGGACTTTCAGCCCTTTTCTCGCCTTCTTTCGGCTTGAGTGTCTCCATTTTATCTTTATTTTCCGTGTCCGTCATTATTATGTGTAGGTTGTATATGTATTGCAAGGTTTTGGTGAGCTATGTGCAGGATGCTCGTGCATTAGTTACTACACAGCTTAACTACAAAGAAAAATCGCGATACTGTACTCACTCTAGAAAAATATTTACTCCCATAGCGTTAGCAACATGGCGACACAGATGTCAAATATTTTCCCCGCGAGCGGCGGCTGGCTAGAGACCAGGACGGCAGGCCCAGGTTTGCAAATTTCATAGATCCTTTACCTTTTTTTTTAAACACCGGGTTTCAATAAAACCCCTGTAAAACCCCTCGATTTTTCCCCAATGTAGTTGTTTTGCGAAACCCCCCGCTGTGCAGTCATAGGTGGTCCCAGATACGTGAATAGGTGATATATTAGAGACTAGAACGTATTAATAAGCTCTTAGTAACACTCCCATACGATTACAGCCTCACATAAACAAAGAAAGAAGTTCAATGTGAAATCGGTCATTCAATGCACTAATGACTGGTCAAACAATATACTAGTGACCAGTAATGAGATTGCATTGAACTTGCAGTACAACAACCCCAATTTAGGAGGCCTATAGTATCAATATAAAACCTTCGACCTGACATCATAAATAAAGCAAGCGGAGTTATCTCCCCTGCTCATGTAAAGGTTACAACAACAGTCTAGTGCATTGTCAACTCACGAATTCAATCCATTTCAGTACGCAACATATCATATACAAGTGAATTGGTACCCTCTTTGTGTCAAACAACCATACCGAGATGTAGGCAAATTAAGGATTGCAAGGAATGTTGCTCATCAAAAGGTGGTCATCCAGATTGCGAAAACTGTAGATGTGCATGCCAGAGGAAGCGCTTGTATGGGGCGTCCGTGTTAGAAATTCCTATGCCTATTCTACCTGATAGGGAGTATCGATTTCGAGCATCTTTCTTTGATACAACTGATTACAGAACTACTGTACATCGTCAGCATGAGAAGGAAGCTCGGCTTGCGGTCGATTTCTCCTTCATCAATTACTTCGGTGGAGATAGTACCCGAAAGGTAGCATCAAATGAAAAGTTCAAAGATTTCACAATAAGCAAACAAGTCAAGTGCACTGATCGACTTCGTGCGTGTTTGAAAAAAAGCAGCACAAAGTATATGCCCCGACGATCCTGCCGGGTTGATTAAAAGTGCTCTATACCACACAGAGAAGGAGTATCTGAAACAATTAACGACAGTGTATGAACATCTCAAGGAATGCGATGGGGAGGCGTTGCGAGTAAGATTGGCAGTGCTCTCCCAATTTGCTAGACCAGCGACTCGCAAGAAGAAAGCAACGACTGAAGACAACGACAGCGATTCAAATGATGAGGAAGGGAGGGAGACAGAGGGAAGAGAGGGTGGTGAGATAGGAACTAATAATGAATACGTTCTTTCTTCCTTGTACAAACGTTTAGAACTATCAGATAAGCAGCAAAAAAAATCGCCGCACGAAGGTTCAACTAGCCAAAGGTTCACAAGGTCGTGCGCGAGCTCGAGCACCAGTAAAATATCCATCTCTAATCAGCAAACGCCAAGCAGATGAGGCTCATGATCCAGCGACAGGTAAAAAATCTAGATTAGACTAAGCATAGCGTTAAATATACCCAAGTATATGTATGTACATATTTATCAAAGACAAAAGTTAATATACCTAAGTAGTTATATATATATATA